GCCCATGAGAGCCACACGCTGGTCCAGCTCCTCCTCAGTCCTCCTCAGTACCTCCCTGATGCGGGCAAGCTCTTGTTCTTGCTGCCGCACAGTGCTTTGAGAGTCCTGCAGCTCCTGGGCTCCCTGTTGGATCTTCCCCTCCAGCTCTCTCAGTGCAGCCTGAGAGGCCTCCATGTCATTTTCATGCTGTTTCAGCTCACGTTCCTGCTCCCTTAGAGTGGTCTGGCACTCCCGGAGCTCCTGCTGGCACTTCTGCAGCTCTTGCTCCTTCTCCCTCAGGGTGCTTTGGGAATCATGCAAGTCCTCAGTGCACTTCTCCAACTGCTGCTCCACCTCACTATGCAAGATGAAGGACAGAGGAGGCAAATAACACTTTGCTCTTTCAGCTAGAAAAACTAAGAGCAATAGTGTAGTGAAGAACATTTATACAGTTCTCCCCTTATCTCAAAAGTAGTCGATCAGTCAAGACATGTTTGATGTTCAAAGTTTTTAGTTTTGCACTGGCGCTACAAGTCCGATGTGACACATCTACAAGGCCGAAAAAGGTGACAGATGTTCCGCACTTATTAGTAGAGGTGTAACTGTTCACCAGTCACAGTTTGGTTCAGTCCTTGTATCACATTTCAGAATGGAATAACGTAAACAACTCAACGTCAACCCAGTTACCTCTACACCACTACTCGTTAGTTACTGTAGCCTTGTAAAGCAGCTAACTTCAAACATCATACATGTCTTGACTGATCAACTATGTTAATAGCATTGGGGAAATTTGTGTTAATTTGATTTCTGGGTGAACATATTTTCTGTCAAACACAAACACATGCATGATGGATTCACTCAAACATATGCATGATGAATGCAGGGGGCAAATCTTACCCAAGCTTCTCTTGAGAATCAGATACGCGGCGCTCCATTGCAGATTTGTCCTGCAGCTTACTCTTAAGATCCTTACAAAAGAAGAGTTAAGACTAGTCTTCAGAACTTACTGACCAACAATTCTACTACTCCAATCCTTATAAACTAAAACAATACCTGAATCTCTTCATTTGCAGTGTCAAGGTAGCTCTGCAGAGCCTTAATTTCCTCCCTCAGCTCCTGTATGACAGCTGAAACAGAAGATGCATAATGAAGAGAAAAACACAAACAAAAAATAAAAAATGTTAACTCCATATCTATATTAACTCTATAATATCACTCACTCTACCTACCATGCAGCTTATCCATTTCTTTCTCAAGCTGATCATTATGTGCTTTAGTCTCTTCATGAAGGTCCTCTGTAAAGCAGAGTAAATGCACCTTGTAACTCTATTGGTAACGATAAGTTTAGTCAGAATTATTTATCCATTGTGCAATGTTTGGTGATTTAAGACGTTTTCTACAGACACCTTCTTTATTAATTATATAGATCTGTTAAATCAAATTTTATTTTCTTCATTTAGTCTTCTCAAGCACTGAGAAAGTCAAGGCTCACCAAGATCTCTGTTCCGCTCCTGAAGAGCACTAAGAGTTGCTCTTGAGGCTTCAAGATCGGTCTCCAGCACTTTCACTTTGCCTTCTGAACTGATCTGCAGGAAACTCAGCTCCTGCAAAAATGTCAAAGATTTGTTGAGCAGATTCAACTGGGTTGGGAATCGCATATATTTACTGTTACATTACTGCGGAACCCACAAGAACCCCTCACCTACTCAAGAATAAACAGTTTCTTACCTTGCCTTTAGCATCCAGTTTGTTTCTGGCCTCCATCAACTCCATAGATAGAGAATTGATTCTCTTTTTTGTAGTGTCAGCAGATACCTATATAAGTGCATATGCAAAAAAAATATATAGATAAAAAAAATATTTATTATGGCATTGCAAGGAGCAAAGAGCTTAAGACCACCCACTCAGTCAAGTGAATACTGATTAACCTGAAGCATGTCTATTTAACTACACAACCAACCTTGGACTTCAGGAACTCATTAGTTTTCTTTAACTCAACAAGTTGTCTTTCAAGAGAAGCCACATTGGCTGCAAGGCCGGTCTTCTCCCTCACAGCAGCAAGCAGTTTAGCCTCCAGCTTCTTCAGCTCTTCCTCCAGGATCAGAAGCCTGCGGTCCTGCTCCCCTCTCTGCTGCACCAGTGACCGGATCTGGAAAGTATATTATTTGCAATGATAAGAATAAACTATGAATCATACATTAGAGTGAATGCAGACTTAGTGTGTCATTCATTTATGATGTAATTGTAACATCAGTGTGGCTTAGTAGGGAAGGCCATAAACCTGGTAATTTCAGGTTATTACCCCAGTACTGCTTAAACGTTGCTACACATCTTCTTTTAATGATACAAACCAACCTTTCTTTGGTACCCACCTCTTTCTCCAGAAGTTTTTGATGCTTCATTTCAACTCTGAAACTGCTTTTGTCCTTTTTGGAGCCAGAACCTCCATCCTGTATAAGAGAACGATAAGTGTCACACAGGGAACCACTTCTATGATTCCAAACATCTAGCTTCAGTATATAGGCAGAGCACTCACCAACCCATCTACAGACATAGTCCTTCGCACTGGAGACATCAAGACATCTTTTGCGGGTGGTGGAGGTGGTAAAGCTGCGGCTGAACCAGTCAACGGACAGAGGAGTAAGGTCAGATGACAAGACAGCTATGTGCATAAATTAAAACCAGCAAAACCACAATTCACTTTAAAAGAAGGCCAACTAGGCCAGCTGCTCTCACATTTCGATGCAGATTTGAAGCGTTCTGACTTGTGAAAGGATGCAGCTCCCTTTACGTCACCATCTTTGAGTTCGTAGGTACCAGGCGGAGGAGCACAACCTAGCAATAAAGAACAATCGTGTTGGGCAAAACAATTCATGACACACCTGAAGGCAAAGATCGCACACGAAGAATGAATCCATGCATGTCCAGCAACTAAACTTATTATGATTAGGAAAAATGCCACAGAACGTCTGCTGGTCTAAATTTGTATATTTATTCATTCATTCGATCATACATCATCCAACCCGCTTATCCTCCTGGGTCGCGGGGGGTGCTGGAGCTTATCCCAGCGCTCACTGGGCAAAAGGCAGGAAACACCCTGGACAGGTCACCAGTCCATCGCAGTTGTATAGTTATAACCATCTGAATTTGATTAAGTGTATTTTTTTCTTCTTTTTCTTTCAACATCAAACTTGAATTTTCTACAGACTATGTTTAACTAATTTAGGAGCGCTTCTGTTTGATCAGTTAAAAGATTTGTGCTTAGAGAACATACAGATCAGTGTAAATTAGCTAGACACTTTAATGTGGAAATGGGTTAAATCATTTAGTATGATCTGCCACAGTCCTGAGTATTGAATTTAGGTTTCGAAGAAAAATAATGAGACAGGAATGTACTCATGTGCAACATGACAGCAGCACGTTGGCAAGTAGCTTGCATGGGTGTGAACTTGTTTACGTCTCTCTGCTTAGCCATATTAACTTAGCTAGCTGTGGCTAGTTTTAACAATAGCTAGCCACAAACAAATACCTTGCTGGAATGTAGAAGCATTCAAAGTAACGTTAGTCAAATCTGACCCTCGACTTCAAATTAAATAGTCCTTTTCTGTTCAGTTCCAAAGAACTAACCACAGCACTTCACAAACGAGAATGACAGTCAACATGAATAAGAGGTTTAGGAAGAAGTTAGCTAGGTAACTGTTAGGTAGCTTCGTGGTAAACAGTCTGTGTCAAAACACGTTTTGAAAAACGGGCTAATAAAGAAATGAAACTGCAGTTTTCCATGTATTTTCAAACACTCCGGCGTTAGAGAGACGTTGCGTATAAAACATACAAACGCTGCATCGAAAGATCTGGACAGTAAACTTCACTGCCGACTTTGTTATGAAACGGCTCTGGCTCTCAGTAACGTTACTGACCTGCCATGAACAACAGAAGAGCAGTAAGTTATCCGTACTTACCAACATGCTCATTAAATCGTTTCAGAGGCGCTCTTGAAAACGACATACTTTACAAACCAGAACGGGTCGCTACAAAATAATAGTAGCAACGTAAATGTTATAAGCCTTTAGTATTTCGCAGAACCACCACGGCTTCAGCAACACCCGCTGGATTTTTTTGAAACTCTTGCTACATCCAATCAAATCAAAGGAAGCGCACTAGCCAATGAAAAGCTCCGGAAACCTGACTGTGATCCAATCAGAAGTGCGGTTGTCGTGCTACGTATCCCATGCGCTTCCCAGCAGCACATTCGGCTTGCACGTTTGAATGTTTCTGTCTGCAAAGAATACATTAAGATAAAGTAGATCATAATAAAATTAAATAAAATTAATATAGAGTTTTTACAAAAAGCTTACAACTTTAGCCAATGAAAAACTCATGGACTCATAAACTCACACAGTTCTGCCGACTATTTTATGGGTTAAGTAATCATCAACTTAATATACCATGGTTTTGCTGCACTACATAACCTAGTTCTTCCTCTTCTGATACTTGATTAGAAAACATGCCAATGAACAAAAGTGCCAATGAACAGAATATCTTAGCAGTCTGATCAGAACACAAACACACAAACAGCTATTCACAAATGCAAATGAAAAATAATAATAAAAAAAGGATATATGGAGAGAAATGTCCTATTCATGTTTGCATACAGGCAGTACTGGGCATCAGCAAACGTTGGCACTACATTTTCAAACAGAAAACTCCTGTTTGAAAACGAACTATATATAAATGTACAGAGCTTAGTCTACGGAAGGCTGTACATGTAGCCAGGCCAAAGCAGGTGCAAAAGACCAATGGACGATGGACATGCTAATAGCAATTTTTGCACAATATTATTTTTTGTGACACAAATAATAAGTAAAAGAATGCAGTCTTTAATATGAATCTGTTTTTGAGCGGTAGTCCTATAATAAAAATGAATGAAGGGCCAGGATGTTTCACGTGAGGTCCGACAGGGGGCGCACGTGTCTCATCATTTACACACACGCGGTTTGAACTGCTTGCTTGCCGTACTGAAGCTTCAATCACAACACGGAAATAAGATTTGAAAACACAAACCCGTTTGACATTTGTCGTTCATTCGTGTTTATTCCCGGTAGAGTGTTAAACCTGTACAGTGATCGGATTTCTGATAGAGGAAACACATTCTGTGTAAAATGCTGTTCTCTGACTGCTTCCTAACGTTAGTGTGGGATTAACTCCGTAACTGGATGCTTTTGACCCACTTTGTGTAGTTTGTGTAGTGTAAATGTGGATCAAGTCTTAGTGAGACCATGATGAGTTGACAGGCATGTAAAGGAGCAGATATCACTCGGCTTTCTGCTTCAAACAGTTCTGTGTCCCCTGTCTAATATTTCACTAATACAGCGACGAAAGCTTTCTAACCGGTTACTAACTTCACTAGCTAGCTAACCTAACTGTCATCATGAGACTGAGTTCTTCAGTGTTCGCCTCATTTTGTCTCCTCATCGAGTTAGTCGGTATTGCCCTTTTCCTCAGAGGATTTTTTCCTGTTCCAGTCAAGTCGTCTCTATCCTCCAAGAGTAAACTGTCAGACCTGCCTGCAGAACCACTTGCAGGTAAGCAGCTGTGAAACAGCTGGTTTGGCTAAGTCACAGTCAAGGTGTTATTTTTCAGTACCACAAGGACCCACGTCCTAGTTTAATTTGTATCTTATTGTTTTTTTCCCTGAAGACAGATTCTAATAATTGTGTGGGTTTATGCTCTAAAACTGGCATAATTTATTTTCCAACCTCTTTTTAAACTTTAAAAAAGGAGCAGTCATGGGCTGGAGGTTAGGGAACCAGCCCTGTGACCGGAAGGTCGCTGGTTCGATCCCCTGAGCCGACAGAACGTGACTGAAGTGCCCTTGAGCAAGGCATCTAACCCCCAACTGCTCCCCGGGCGCTGCGGATAGGGCTGCCCACCGCTCCGGACAAGTGTGCTCACTGCCCCCTAGTGTGTGTGTGTTCATAAGTGTGTATGTGGTGTTTCACTGCACGGATGGCTTAAACGCGGAGGTGAAATTTCCCTGTTGTGGGACTAATAAGGGTCATTTCATAATAATAATAATAATAATAATAACATAATAATAATAAAGTGTTAATATATGTAAATATATTACATGTTTGTTCTGGTTGGCTGCCTTGTGTTGTGCCATATTAATTTCCACCTATGGACTGTATGGACTGGAGGGTGAATGTAGTGATTAGTCCATTCAAGCTCTTTTATTTAGAAAGACAGAGTAGCACTCACCGCTATTGAGTTTTTCGCACAAGTCATGATGCTTTATTGTCCAACTGTTGTTGGCCACAGCCACATAAGCAGAGTTTTTCTCTAATAGCATGTTCACTAGCCAGCTTCAGTCTCTCATTCACTCTCTCTCCCAGCTCACACACACATATATGCACACACCCTTGGGGCAGTTCCAAGCCCTGTCCTCTACAATAAGATTCCATAGCAAAAGGAACAAAGTGTAATAAATGCACCTAACCCAATACTAACATGCTAAAACATTTCCAAAACACTTCCACTTTTCCACAATATGGGCTCATGATATACATCAACATGAATTGGAAATCATATCTAATTTCCTTCCTTACTGTGACGTATGGCCAAACGTATGTGGACACCTGACCATCACACCTATACACCATTCTAAAACCGTCAGCATTAATATGGCGTTAGTCTCCCTTTACAGCTATAACAGCCTTTGCTCTTCTGAGAAGGCTTTCCACAAGATTTTAGAGTGTGTCTGTGGGAATTTGTGCCAGTTTAGCCAAAAGACAGAAATTCCACAAACTGGCTTGTGATAAAGGTGGCATCTTATACAGTGCCACATTTAAAGTCACCAATCTCTTCTGCTCACAATGTTTGGTTCTGCAAATTGCACAATGATGTGCTTGATTTCATAAACCTGTTAGTGTTGAGTATGGCTGAAACACCTGAACTTCGTAATTAGGAGAGATGTCCACATACTTTTGGCCATATAGTGTGTTTCAGAGTAAAGTACGATATTAGGTAGTGAACTGAGTGATGGGTAGAGATGGTGAAACATGAGATTATTGGTTAATATTTTTTTTTTTTTGTCCATTGTCATTAGATTCTAAAGGAAAGTTATGGGAAACCAAGAATTGTGTCCTTTAAATGATATGATGAACCGTGCTTAATATGACCAGGAAAATGAACTAACAAGGTGAAACAAGGTCAGATTGACACTGTTATCTGACTGTTTGAGAAGTCCAGCTTTTCTAAAACTCCCTGCTAGTGTTTTCTGGGAGCCCTATTTTTAAACAATGATGTGTAATGTGCTAATGTTGTTTTGCACTAACATTCTATTATACTGCGTGAACAGTTCAGGTCCTAACAGTGTGGTAGTAACAGATGTTCACAAAAAAAAAAATCACCTTAATTTCTGATGTCCTTTTGCTGAAGTTCAACAGCATTTTATTTTTTGTTTTGCAGGAAACAGTCCAAACTCAACCAAAGTTCCTCCGCCTCTGTTCAAAAGAGTGGTGATTATGTTGATAGATGCTTTAAGAGAGGACTTTATCTTTGGGCCGAATGGGAAAAGATTTATGCCCTACACCAGACACATAGTGGAGAGAGGATCCTCACACAGCTTCATAGCCAAAGCTAGACCTCCCACTGTCACTATGCCGAGAATTAAGGTGAGTCTGTTTGTCCAGTAACCATTTTTCGAAGCTTTACATCTTGGACATCATTCGTGCATCCTGTGGTGCTTAATTTGGCATCTGATGGCTGGCTAGATTTGAGCAGTGTCATTTAATATGGATGAGTTTGAGCGAAATCATAAGCGTGTGAGTCAGCGTTTAAAATGTTAGACTGGAATTGATTTAAGGCAGTAACGTTACAGATTTTTTCACTTGTCCGCAGCCGCAGAGGTATAATTCCGCCTTTCTTTCTGACAACTTTGTCTAGACAGTGCCTGCTGACATGCATGCTCCTCCTCTTTAAGAAGCAGATGATTCATTGTCATAAATTTCTGAAAAAAAGTGGACAGATTTAGTGCTGTCAAAGAAATTGTTTCTGGTAGGATGTTTTATTGATTTAACACATCCTCTACAGAGAACACACTTCTACACATCTTAATGCATAATTATTGTTTCTTTGCTGAATTTAATATACTGGGGGAAAAACATAAAATGTAGCCTGTGCAAAAATTACAGCACATTTTATATAGTGTTAATTTTTCCAATATGTTAAACACAGCAAATAAATATAAATTGTACACTTATGACATTTCCAGAAAAATGTCAGATTTAAGTTTGTTCTCTGTTCAGGATATGTACTTATTTTCATTTACAGAATCAACCAACATGTAATTTGACCAGGGGTGTCAAACTTTAGCCTTGCACAGTGCTGGTGCCTGATATAAGATGTTTTGGGCAGGTACCAAGATTTGTATGTTTCTTGTGCATTTTCAAGCAGGTCAGGTTCAAATGGGCAAAGCTGAAAATACATTGAGGAAAATATAGTATTTGAATTTGATATTGGATTATCATTTTATAATAACTATAATTATTTCACTGTTTCACAAGACATGGTGTTTACTCAACTATATATACATGTCTCAGCTTTTCTCAGACTGACCAGCAGATGACAGTAGAGCCCTTTCACCGTGAGACAGACCCCCCACCCGACTCACTGCAGTACTTTCTCCTTTTAACTGGCATGACACGGCCAACTAACCCAAATCACTGTCTCCTGGAGACCAAGTCAGTCATTAAGCACTGCTGTGCCTGCCAGGGGCTGCCTGCACTTCAGGACGATAGAAAGGTCTAGAAAGAATCGAGCTTAAACGTGGTGGGGAACGAAGAATGTTCAGAGCAAGATAAATATTTTAGGAGGCAGACGGTTCATTTCTAGGGAGGGATTTGACTGACCCTGAACTGAAATGCTCAGAGGGATCACCGTAACTGAATTTAGGATATTGATTCGCACTCAGCGCTCATTGTTTTGTACATCTTTCAGTGTTTTTTCATTGAATCCTTCATGAAAGCAGTTCACGAAAAGTTCAGAAACCCCTTTGTGCAGTTTCATGTTGATATAGAACAGTTCACATACCCATAACTGTTTCTATTTCTCTGTAATAGAGCTGTGTTCTCAAAGTGGCCCACTGTGGAGCAAAGCAAATGGAGGCAGTTGTTAAAGAAGCTTCCTATCCTAAACTGTTACAATTAAATTTCATTCAGAGATTGTTAAAACTTTCATTAATCAGATGAAGCCATTAAGCTTGCATCATTAACCAACATGTGTTGATATTCTAAAGTGGAGCAAATTAAATGTTGGGAATACATGTAAAATTTATATCATTTAATATGTCAGGAATGTGTGGTCTTAGGCTTTGATCTTGGCTTGATCTTTTTTTGCTGAATGTGTTATTATTATTATTATTATTATTATTAGTATCATTATTATTATTATTATTATTATTATTGCATTTCCATCTCTCATGTTCTTATTATGATTTCAGTTTTGTTAACAGCAAGTCAGCACTGTTTTGGCCATATTGACTGTTAAAACTGTGATGTCACAGGGACACAATGCTGCATATGTTTCATTGGAGAGCATTGGCTTGTTTTTATTTCATACAAACTTTCTGGTAGCTGTGTTTAAAGGGACACTCTGGCCAAAATTAAAATTTTTACCATTGTACATCTATTGTAAACATGCATTGCCTCCTTAAGTTGTGCCACTATAGTCTTGACAGTGAGATTTTCCACTTTAAAGACTAGGAAAACCCCCTTCTGATGATGTATCTTGAAGGTATCTCTGGGGTCGATCATTAAGGGCTGTTTGAAGTGTTGTTTGTTTCTGCTAGTTGGCTAATGCAGAGAGAAGCCAGATAGCTAATGTTACTGCCGTGACATACCTCAGTGTCTGTATTTTTTGTTTCTCTATATGAGTGGTACATCAGCAGATCTCCCATGGGGGGATTCCCAGTGGTTGTATGACCATGCATGCTGTGTACTGTAGTGAGAGAACACTGATGGATGATACTAGATGCAACACTGCACTGCAGAATATTACATAACATGACAAATAACATATTAAATGTTACCAGGCCAGAAAGTCCCTTTAACTGAGTGCTGTGAACTCCTTGTGGATTCTAGGCAGTGATGTTCTTTTACAGTTAATCAGTGTTCTACAATTCTATAGCAGTATTAGTAGCTTAAAGTGATGATGTTTTCTGTTAAAATTGTGTGTTATTATTGAACATATATAATTACAACAGTGACATTTTTCTTAAATCTTACACATGAATCCAATAAATGAATGGTTTCCTGGACAGAGAAAAGCCTAGTCTCTGTCTATACAGTAGTGTCTTTCAAAATCCTATGAAGGACTACGCTAAATCCCTGTCTGAGAAACCGACCCTACATGTTTTTAGAGCTGTCTCTGACTGTTTTCAACTCCTCATTAAATATCAGCTAGCTACTTGGTCAGCTGCGTTCCTTGTCTCAGAGTAGTCTTTTTACCTCACTGCGGTCGCACACATGGGCTTTGTAGATATTTTATACTGTTTGGATTATTTCTTTTGTCAGAGATGGAATTTAATCTAAATCTGAAAAGCGCTGTGTGTCTGGTCGAGAGGGAGCCTTTCATGCGGCTCCTTTTTTCTGCTGTACCTTATTTTCTGGGTCACTACCTGTGCCTCTTCACTTTTAAAAAAAGAGAGAGGGGGAAAAAAACATACAGAGCTCCTTAGAGAATCCTCTCTAAAGAGATTCTTAGAGAGCCTTGAAACTTGTGAGATGTGCAGCCCTTTTCTCACACTAGTAGGTGTCCAGTTCATGCTCTTTCTTTCTAACAACTATTCTGTAGTTCTGCCATTTAATATCATCCATTATAGGCTGTTTATTAATGCTTGTGCTGTGCTTCCCATTCGTCTTGGGTCATTTTCAGAGATGAAACTATCAAGTGGAAAATGGCCAGTAATCGATTGAACATAGTAATTTAGCCGTATTGCATGCTCTGTACATGCTCTTCCTGTAGCTCCTCTTCCTCTAGCCCTGCAGTAGGGAAGTTCACAACTTGTGTAATAGCATCTGATCCTTGTCCTCTCGCTTTTCAGTAACATCATCAAGTTACTAATGCACCTTAGAAGATGGAGAGAGTAAATGGGAAATGGGCAAGGTACACAGCCCTCTGCAATACTAGAGCTGACCTGCCCCACTCTGCCCCTGCACTAGGCTGGCTCTAAATACATTGGCCTCTTTTCCACTGTAGGGCTGAACGGTTCTGAGCACAGTTTTGTCGACATGGCTGGTTAACAGTGCTTAGAGCTGCAGAACTGCTCAGGTGGGATGGATTAATGACAGCTGTTTGCTGATTGATTAGAAGTTTATGTCACTTTCGTGCCACCCCATTATTTCAAAACCAAAAACAATCAAATAAAAAGTTCAGTCTCCAAATAAATGAATGCATGGTTTTCAAGCCCTCATTCAATAAATGCCAAACCATCAATCTAACAACACTTGCTAAATGAGAAATAGAGTTGCTAACTAGGAGAGAGAAACTGTCAGAATAAGTGTAGCTAGAAAAGCTCTGCTCATCACAGGACTGGATCGATTCTAGATAGCTGAAGCTACTGGCCCAATTTTAGATTATAATGACTCAAATCTGAGGGAGCAATGTCGAGCAACTGGTGTTGGAGGCCAAAATTAAACCTGTTCTAGCTTAGCAAGCATGCTACAAAATCACAGATACGCACAGTGTCACACACTACAATACATGTACGGTTTTGATTAATTGGTTCGCTGCTAATGAAAGCATGGACTGTAAAAACTCATATCTTAGAGAGCAAAGTCAAGTGACAGAAGGATGAAATCAAATCTTTTCTGTGGTGTTTTGGAGCTGTAGCTTGCTTGCTAAGCTAACACTATCTTAGTTAGCAGGCTAACTGGGCCACACAGCTCAGTAAAGGCTTGTTCCCAGCTACCTGATGTTCAAAAGACACATTTAGAGGTCAAAGACTCATATCTGAGACTGCAGTATCGAATGACTGGTGTGTTCTGTGATGTGTGTAGGTGTTAGCCTGTTAGCTGTTGCCAAGCCACTGTCTTCAGTATTTCCTGGTACTGATTTAGCTGCATCGCAGATGGAAAAAGAAACCGTAGCTTGTCTCATGAGTCCACACTGAACCTGAGTGGCTCAATATGGCTGTGGCTGTACAGTGGAAAAGAGGCCATTTATTCAGTCAGCGAACACACTGGGCCAGCTTCCCAGACCCAGATTAATCCTAATCCTAGACTAAAAAGAATTTCTAATGGAGATTCACAATTGACACTGCAGTTTAATCCAAGATTTAAGCCGTGTCGGAGAAACCAGCCCATTATGTTTAAAGCAAAGGTCTGGCGAAAATGTGCTAAATTTACACAGTTTGTCTTTACTTCAGATGTAGTCTATCAACTAAGATGTATTTTCACTGGAGATATAAGGCTAATGTAGATAACAAGTAGTGGAAGCTTATGCTACTCCAACTAGCATTGTGCAACTGTGTATAGTATGAGGCTGAAATGAATGGATGAATGGCAGACATCCATTTGCAAAAATAGACAAAATTATAGACCAAAGTTCAACTTTCAAAATGGCTGCTACTATGTTTTTTTTAGCTATGCAATATAATATTATGACCACCTCCTTG